CAGGTCAGCAAGCAAATCATGGCAACCAAAGACAACCTGAGTTTCCTTAACTCTTTGTGGTGTTCGGCAGCCTACTATCTCGGGCAGGGACCCGGTGGTTACCATCCCGTCTCGGGATCGGGACGGGTCTCAGTTGCAGTGTGGTGGTTCTGTATAACAATTCTAGGTGCGACATACACGGCTAATCTAGCGGCTTACCTCACAACCAGCAGACTGCAGACTCCCATACGGAGCGTGGAGAACTTGATTCAACAGACTTCTACTGAGTATGGAGTTGTAAAGGATAGTCAGACTCAATGGTTCTTTGCGACGTCGGTAATAGCAAGGTCAGATGTATAATAGTGCCTATTTTGATTTGTCTTGCATTGTGGTCTAAACTGAAGGTTTGTTTAAACTAATCGAGGTCGACTGATTAAGCAAGAAGAATTCTCCCCCTTCCTCCCGGGGTCCGGGGGCTTTCCTGCTTTATCGCAAACATTACTTTAATTTACAACCACTCGCATACATTTTAATAACTTACATTCGTAAACACTAACAGCAAAACACGATATTACAATTAGTCTTTCTTGCATACAATAAAGTACGTTAAGTCACTTTTAACAAGGCTGTTACAAAGGGCCTTTCAGGGGGATTCATCGTTCCTTTGATCGCTTAGCTAGTTCCCTATCAATAGATTCCATTATTCCCTAGCGTTAAGCAAGGGTTTTCGTTATTAGTAGAAATGTCCCTTACTCCCTCAAATTAATAAAAAAATATCCACTGTTCCCTTGTTCCCCAAAACATCTGAGAGCAAGACCTGCCCTCGAACAGAAAGCCACAACACCGAATAGAAGTAACGTGTGCCAGGTCGAATCAATATACGTCCTCTTTCCAGGAAGTTCAGTTAGTCAAGCGGTCAAGATGCATCGAAGCTAACTTTGTCGCTTACTAATCGTCAACATTAACAACACTGTAGATACCAAATGATGTGGGAATTTATGAAGTTACGTCAATCACTACAGTCAAGCACGGCAGAAGGACTCAGGAGGGTGGAGTTGGGAAAGTTTGCCTTCATTCATGATCAACCTCTGCTATTGTACAAGTCTCGCAAAGATCACTGTGGCAAGATGAAGGTCTTGCAGGGGTGAGAAGTTAAGGCCGCCGCACACTAGCCGATTTTTTGTCGGGCGACAAAAAATCTTTATTTGTCGGCTAGTGAGCGGTGAATTCAGACAAGTCTGCGACAAGATCGGGGCTTGTCGGGCGATATCTGGCAGTGCTAGATCTCAAAACGTCTTGTCGGGCCTTGTCGGCTAGTGTGCGGTGGACCAAGACAATTTGTCGGGGGTCGCGCGCGCGTCAACCAATTAGGAAATGTCATGAGAGTCTCGTCAGTGGAATAGGCGCCATCTTGATTTTGGATGACTCGGCCCCAAGCCTGAACGCGGTTAGTCGCGACAAAAGATCGGCTAGTGTGCGGCAAGCTGATGGCCCGACAAATTTTAACCCTATTTGACCCCGACAAAAAATCTGTAGTTCTGCGACAAAAAAATCGGTGAGTGTGCGGCAGCCTTTAGATTACATCGCACAGCCAAAAAACAAAAAAACAAAAAACAAAAAAAGCAAACAAACAAACAAAACAAACAAACAAACAAACAAACAAACAAGCAAACAAACAAACAAACAAGCAAACAAGCAAATAACGGTATGAAGATTGTCATCGAAAACATTATGAATGCCCCAGATACTCTCTTTGGCAATACGGCTCGGCAACGTCCATTCCAGCAGTGTTTCATCCTTACACTTTAAAGTTACAATCGCTCATCTTGTTCAGTATAAACATTTTCACATAAACTTACGTACAGCTCGATAGCTTTAATTTACGTGGCCACACATCAAGGTTTCATAACCTCAAGGATTAGAATACCTTGTACAGCATAATAAACAGCACCACCTGAAAATAGTGCTCAAAAGCATGCTTCAAATGGTTGCACACTACGGTTTCATCCAAAGCTTCGAAAGTTAGAACAACTTGTAAAGCATAGTAAACAACACCACCTGAAAATATTGCTCAATAACTTTCATTTGAATGTTCACACACTATTGTTTCTTCCATAGCTTCGAAAGTTAGAACAGCATAATAAATAGCATAACAGAATATTCAAGAAGAACATCGGAAATGTTTTCACCAAAACTTTTGTTCATATGATAAACTGTATTTGCGTTGTAGTTCAGTACCGACCACAACGGTAAATAATGTTTTCATTTTACTGTGCCCAGCTAAATTAAGGAAATATATTTTTTACACCGGTTTTTGCTTAGTTAAACTTATCTTCTTTCAAGGTTTAGGTTTTGAACGCAATCGTTTATTCCCTAGAAAATTTGGTGAGGCTCACTATGGCTTCGCCTTACCGACAAATTCGCCTTACACTGCCCCTCTAAGTATTGAGATGTTGGAACTCCGGAACAAAGGAGAAATTTCAAGGATAATTGACAAGTGGATGATTGACAGAACACCTTG